AAATAATAAGCAGTGGTTGACTCCCTGCCCCTCACAACTTTAAATATAAATAACTCCACTGTTCTGAACTGTGCAGATGCAGTTGTGAACAATTAATATTCTTTGCCACCCTCAAATGGACTCTAGATCATGTTGAATTAGATTTATCATGAGTTTCCTTCCACTATGGCCCCATGCACTACATTGCCTTGCAGCTCTGTGGTATACCATGGGGTTATATGAGCTCCATGTAGACATGGTACCTTTCAAGCATATTTGAAGCACATTTCACCCCTCAGAGAATTCTGGGCACAGTATTTTGTTGAGGGTTGCTGGGCACTGTAACTCCATGAGTGGTAAACCACAGTTCCCAGAATTCTTTGAATGTTCTTTAGTCCAGCTATCTGAGGCAGCTGGCACATGGGGCTCCCTTCCCACCACCCATTGTAATGAAACACTGCAAGTCCCCATGGAACAGGCATGTCCAAAGTCCATTTCGGGGGCCTAATCCAGCCCCTGTGGTAGTTTATTTCCAACTTCAATCCTAAAAGAAACTCAAGAACTCCAACCTTAAAAGAAGCTCAACAACTTTGGGGTAAAATCATAAAAAAGCTCAACAACTTCAATCCTAAAAAAAAGGTCAACTTTGCTCAGCCCCCATGGCCCTTCGCTTCATCAAATCTGGCCCTCTTTGAAAAAAAGTTTGGACACCACTGCCATAGAACCAACAGGATGATGTGCCATCATGTGCAGGAAGTGGGGAACATGGCTGGGTTATCTTTTTCAAAAAAAATTACAAGAAGAGACCAGTTAGCAATGCGGTTGTCGGGTCTGCTCTGTAAAAGGATCTGCAGGACTAATAATTCTGAGGAACTGATCTCGTTCATGAGTGGATCAAATCAGGTGAATTCACTTGGAAGGATTTGTCCCCGGGTCCCTAGTAAATACCTAAGTCAAGACATGAGTGACTAGGAAACCAGGAGACCCAAGCTGTTGAAAACCTTTCCCATCCTGTTTCTGAAACCTTTCCCATCCTGTTCCCTGATGGTGCAACCTTTATCTCAAGAGACCAACCTCACAGAAAGAACCACAGTTTAAATTGGCCAGGTTATGTTTCCTGCTGCCAGTGACTAACAAGGGATGTCACAGCATCAATGTTGATTTCTCACAGGATCACCAACCTGGATGCCCCCAACACCATACCCCAAGCCACCTCTTGTGCAAGGAGACTGTTAGGCAATGTGACAGAATTCCTGTCTGATACACCCAAGACCAGATAACATATACCCAAAATTGGCGGATTGCTGGGCACAATACCTGAAAAGAAAGGTGGAATCATGATAGACATCACTGGATCTATGATACTGTTGCCAAAAGAAAAACCCAAAAAGCCAGCTAATGTAACTGGAAGAGTTAAACTACACACCCTCCTGCCCTCCTCCCTCAGTGATTCATGCAAGGTCAGCATACTGATCCAAGATTAAATTCCGGAGGGCCCATTGTTTTCCTGTTTAGCAACAGTAATAATACCAAATAACCACCCACATAATTTAGCTCTCAGCATCCCCTGGGACCAAGCGTCCCGTTTCACTGCAGTTTAATCCCCCACAACTCACGGTGTGTTCAGATGAATTCCCATATGAATACCAGAAAAAAGGAAGGTCAAATAATAATAAACCTTCTTCCAGGACAAAACTCCACGCTGTCAGCTTCACCCTGGTTCTTGGCAAACAAAGCTCCACACAAGGAGACTCCCTGCACTCAGGACTGCTTCACACATGGCATTTTCCTCTAAAGATGGAAAGGATGGAGGAAAGTATACACACCTGATATCAGAGACCTGAGTATCTGTCTATAACTTTGATCTGGCAATTATGCAAGATAAATTACTCCAGCAATTATTTTAGCTGGCTGACTGTGTCATTCTGCTCTATTACTTTGTAGCTGTAAAGACAAGTCGACTTCCTTACTTTAGCGAATAAGGTACTTTTTTTTGTTGTTAGCATAGCTTTCTCTGCTTGCCCAACTCTAATTTAGTGATAATGGTATTGACAGCATAGTCTCTGTTCTCATCAGAATCTTCTCATTCCAGCAGCCAAGTAGATCGGGGCAGCCAATGCGATACCCAACATTTGTTGTTACGATTCAACTCTCATCACTCCCAGCCATCCTCAACATCCCACCCTCAGCCCACCCTCAACATCTGGAGGGTACAACTTTTGCTACACCTGATGTAGCAATGTAGAGCATTAACAGAGCAATCCTATGCATGTCTACTCACAAGGAAGCCTCGCAGAATTCAATGATACTTAACTGTCACCTTTGTGTGTATATCAAGAATGACTAACTCGCAGGCTAGATTTGGGCTCTCCAAGACCCCAATAATTTGGCAATTAAAGAAACACATTATTTATTTTTTTTAAATTGTTCTGCCGGGTTGTTGTGAAGAACTCACCAGCCCTCCAAAAATCAGGTGCCTCTGCCTTGAGTCACCTTGCAGCAGCAATTATATTATATTATATTATATTTATTATATTATATTATATTATATTATATTATATTATATTATATTATTATATTATTATTTATATTCCCCCTTTTCATTCTCCCTTTCCCTATGTCATCCTTAAAACACCCCTGCTAGGTGGGTGAGACTGAAAGCTTGAACCAGGTCCTTGTCCATCACTCTAACCATTTGGCCACACTGCTTTGAAGGCCATAGAGCACAGGAAACAGGAAAGAACACTTATTCCTAAGACTGTTTTGCAGCTGCACAGCACCAGAAGATGAGGCCCCTTGGCATGGGAAAATTACAACACTGTAATGGGAAGCAAAATGCTGGAAGCCCACCCCCACCCCTGGCTGGTCTATTTGCTTGAATGGGTGGGGGGGTGGGGGGGTGTATTAGTGTTAGCTGACCCTTGTATATAAGATTACAGCCCAAGAAGGCAACATGCCTAGGTGGGACAACCTTAGGAGTCCATCTGGCTTCAAATCCCTACTCAAACATGAAGCTCACCTTGGCTCAGTTACTGCCTCCCAGCCTAACCTACTCCACAGGCTTATTGTGAGGATACAATGGGGAGAAAATAGGCAGGATGTGCGGCAGTTGCATTAAACAAACAAATGCAGTATTAAATAGGAAGGCGCATGGTGCCTTGAAGGACGTCCTTTGCTAACTGCCACAATACTTGAGGATGCATTTATTTATTATTATTTATTAAATTTGTATACCAACCTTCATCCATACATCTCAGGGCAGTTCACAGCATTAAAATACATGTTGAAAATGCAAAATGCATAATAAAATCAAGAACGAAACAAACCAATAACACACACACCCCAAAAAAAAGTACTCAAGAGAAGAATATTCCAGTACTATTGTGGATGAATGATTGTGCACCTCATTACTTTTGGATAATCCAGAGGGAACCAATACTGGACTTTGCTCCCCATTCTGTCCTTCTTAGTATTCAAGAAGCTACAAAAACATCAGTACACTATGGATTATCTGTACCAATACTTTAGGTCCAAGTCAATACTACCCTATCAAGGATCTGACCCAAACGAACCCAGATCATTTAGTGTGAGCCATCCTCAGCTCTAGAGTTGTTTTTGTGGGATAATGTGCAGACATGCTGCCCGTGGGGGAAAGTGGTAAAGTTTCAAACTTGCGGGTTAATATTTAAAGTTCACTGTGGGGTGGGGGTGGGGGTGGGAGAGAGAGAGAGAGAGAGAGAGAGAGATGCGCAAGGTTGTCTGCCAGAGATGGGCTTCCGTCCCTGTATTATCAACTGTCTTGACCCTGCTAAGCAACGCTTCCAAGAGGGCGCGAGCACCACAGATGTAGAAAACATGCGGGCGGGTTGGACGTGCTTTATTCACAGAGCAATTATCGCGTAGCCTCCGTTTTACAGCCATATAAACCTGCCATGGGTGTTTGCTTACTGCAAAACCGATTGCCTCCGTAGATACCGGGAGGCCGGTCAATCCTGCAGAGCCGCCTTTAGCCCCAACCTCCCGAAGTAAGGGCAAGCATACACTGCTGTGGCTCATGTTTGTTTACTTAAAAAAAAAAAAAAAAGCGGGGAGTGGGAGGGGGATGCCTGGGCCGAGGATCGCTGGATTTGTTTGCAGAGCAGAGACGCCTCCGTTTGAGTGCCAAAGCTACCAGCAAAATGTGCACGGAGAAGCCGCGCGCCACCTCGAAAGCGTGGCTTGGATCTGGGTGTGCGTGCCCCGGAGGACGCGCTCCTCCAGGAATCCTGCAGGCTCTTTTTGTGCGGGTGTGTGCTTGCGCGGGCGCAACACACCACACCAGTATGCCTGTGCAGTAGGCAAAGGGGAAAGGCTGGGAATAAGTTAGCCCTTGCTCCAAAGTAGCCCTATTGAAGAGCCCTCCCTGTTACCACGTGCTGGAAGGGAGCGCAGCCATTGTGGGAAGATAAAGAAGGGGGCCAGCTTTCTGTGAAAATGCAAGGGCTTCAGAGTTGCCTCTCTCCGGGACTGGGGAAGGACGGTGACATTATATACAGATGGATAATAATAATAATAATATCCATATCGAATAACCCTGCAATAAACGTCCACGCTGGGAATGTACGACAGCCAGTACCCTAATAGCGTGATAGATCAGGGCGAGGGAAGGGATGTAAACAGATCGCGGCTGAACACGAAGTGCCGCTCCATCCATAATGGTGAGCGATGGCTCTCGCCGCGACCAGGGTTCCTGTTCCCTCTCATCGCTCTTGCCCCCCGGCAGCCCCCCGATCCATTTCCGAGATCTGTGAAATGGAGGTCCTTAGCAAAGCGCGCCGACCGGAGGACATCAGCAAACCCACGTGTCACTCAGGCAGAAGGAACAGGATTCTTTGGATTCCTTCCAGTTCCGCCTGGCTTGTTGGGTTTTCTCCCCCCCCCTTCTTCGCCTGCTCCAGGTTTTACTTCTGGTTGCCTGTGAAGGCTTTCGCTCCTCCCTTTTGAAATCCTATATTAGCTGCGGCCAAAGCTGGGTAGGAAATACAGCTCATTGTTGGCAAGTGCTGATGAGAAACGCGCCGAGGAGGGAAAGCAGCGGCTCTGAGACTGGTTTATGCAGCAGCAGCAGCAGGAATAGCAATAATATAAAGATTATACTCCACTTACGCGAGCACAGAGGAGGGGAAAAGACAACCGCTTGCTCTATGCTGGGAGATCTTTACTGACTGATTTTAGCAACACGTTTGGAGCAAACAAGAGAGAGGGCGTGAGGTGAGTGGCGCGCAAAGTGGGGGTCTCTTTTTTGACGGGGGGGGCCTTCTTCCTGCAATGCGATCAATGGGGATGTTTGGAGGGGAGAGGGGGCCAAAGAGTGCATTTTCAGGAGGACCCCTCAATCCACTTCTTCTCGGATTGCAAACAACCCTTGCAGACTTTAAATTCCCAAAGTTGCTCTTGACAAGGAGAAAGGGAGAAGGTCGCGCGCCGCTCTGCCTTTCTTATGTAAGCCGTTTTGTGCAAGGGCATGCTAAAAAAAATTAAATAAAAGAAACGTACGCGGTTGGAGGCAAATGAATTCTGGTTGGGAGGAAGGGGGATTGTTGATGGTGTGCACGCTCATTTAGCTCCGGGGTGTGCACGAGTTGCGGTGGGAGGGATAGGCGGCTGTATCCTTCCCCTTTCACAAGGTGCCTTCCTGCCTATTGCAGGCTGGAGAAAAGAAACCCGGAGCCGCCTGAGAACTGTAAGGAAACATTGCTGTCAGGAGGGAAGGACCTGTCCGGGGTAGAATTCGTGCCGCGAGGCGTGATTACCCTGCAGACGGTTTCCTAAGGAGAAAGGCAGTTTAGTGAGAAAAGCAGCGCTGGTTGCTGGCAAGCGCGCACGCACACACAATGTTTATCTCAGTCTTTCTTTCTCTCTTTCTCTGTAAACATTAACTTTTAAAGGCTGGAAATGGCAGACCACATGATGGCCATGAACCACGGGCGCTTCCCCGACGGAACCAATGGGCTTCATCACCACCCAGCGCATCGAATGGGAATGGGTCAGTTTCCCACCCACCACCACCAGCAGCAGCAGCAACATGCCTTCAGTGCCTTGATGAGCGACCATATACATTACGGAGGTGGAAATATGAATGCAAACAGTGGGATCCGGCACGCCATGGGGCCGGGGAACGTGAACGGGGGCCACCCTCCCAGCACTCTGCCTCCGACGGCAAGGTTTAACAATTCCCAGTTCATGGCTCCTACGGTTGCCACCCAGGGGGGGCCCTTGACGGCCAGCATGCAGCTGCAGAAGCTCAACAACCAGTACTTCAGCCACCACCCGTACCCTCACAACCACTACATGCCGGACTTGCACCCTGCCAGCCACCAGCTCAACGGAGCCACCCAGCATTTCAGAGACTGCAACCCAAAGCACGGCGGAGGCAGCAGCGGCGGAGGCAGCGGCGTGCCGGCCTCTGTGCCCCACGTCCCTGCAGCAATGCTGCCTCCCAATGTCATAGACACTGACTTCATCGACGAGGAGGTGCTTATGTCCTTAGTCATAGAAATGGGCTTGGATCGCATCAAGGAGCTTCCCGAGCTGTGGTTGGGACAGAACGAGTTTGATTTCATGACGGACTTCGTTTGCAAACAGCAGTCCAGCAGAGTGAGCTGCTGACTTCTTGCCAAACAAGATTTGACTTTTTTTATCTGTATGAATGAAAACATTCCCTCTAGACACAGTATTTCAAAGGCTTTTAGGAGCTCAAGTATCTGGGAAGCAGAGTAAACTATAAGCTTGTATAATTGTTTCCCCCCTTTTAAATTGGCTGCCACTTTTTTCTTCTTCTTAAACGTGGACACTCCATTATGCCCTCCCCTTCCCTATAATAATTTTAACTGATTCAGTCTTTTTTAGTAATTCCTCAGCTATAATTTCTTCACTGGCAACATACCAATTATTTCAACTGTTAGATATGAATATTGGCAAAGTGCTTAATATTGTGGATTTTCTATAGGCTATCATTTCAGATAACTGAAAACTGCATTCAAATTCTGAGTTGAAGGACAAAAATATTGCATTAGTTGGTTGCATGAACTTCAGGGTAGATTCCTGCACAAATACTGCCCTCTTGCTTTGTTTTTAACTATGCATTTGCAGTGAAACTAATTTTTTTTTTTTTTTAGTCTGCTGAACTGGAAGCTTAACAAATGTGGGCCAAACCCTCTCTGATCAGGAAAAATAGTACTGTTACTTAAACTCTGCTGTCTGCACCCTTTCTTTCCTCCCTACCCCCCAATCTGTACAGACAATAATATAGTGTGAATGGAATGGTGTCTAGTTGTTGGGGAAAGCATTTCATAGGATTTTATTTTATTCTGGTTCTATCGTCAGCATATTTTCATTTTGGCATTGTGCTTACATAGTTTATTCAGTACAGGGGGGGCAAACTACTGTGTTGAAAGCTTTTTAGGAAATTTGACAGTATTTTTGTACAATTTTTTTGAGAACATACTTGTTAATTTATTCTATTTTAATTTGCCAATGTCAATAAAAAAAAGTTACTTGCTTTAATTTTTTCTAGACACCAGTTACCAAATTTTTTTCTTTAGAATTTTGTTTTTTTCTCCTCTCCACCTCACAAATGTTTGATACATATAACCCATTTAACTTGTTGAGCTGTTGGGTTGTGTGAAACATTCTGAAAGAAAATCTACATGACACCATTGTATGCTATATGTCATGATCAGTGCAGAAAGTTTTTTTTTTTAAAGGATTTAAGCCTAATTATGACATCAGTCTCATAAGTAACATTGTAACATGCCTGTGTGATTTTATCTAAAGTGAAATTGCCAAGAGGCAACAACTTTGTGATTTGCCAATTTACTTGCTTTAAATGTAGTCGTCCAGAATTATGATGCATAAAAGTATTTATTCTATTTATCTATTAAACTTTAATTTTATAAATACTCTCACTTATCTTATCCATAAGACTTGATTCTTCACGTAAATATATTTGCTGTCATGCAGAAGGGTTCAACAAAAGACAGGTTTTGTTCCCTCTTTAGCATCTAATGCTGTTAGCAAATGATAACCAAAAAAACCCATTGCGTTCCATGAGTTTTCATTGTGCAGAAAGAAGAGAAGGAGAACTTTGGTGGGAAATGTTTTCATTGGGCAAAGTTAAACGAGTCTTTCTGTCTAGAAGGTGAATCCTGACACCAAAAATGAATAACTTCCACATTTTGGCATAGAAGAGCAGAAGCTGTGTATATACATTAAGGCAAGAGTAGGCACTATTTCCCCCCCAACAATAGCTATGATCAGGTGAAATGCCGTTTCAATAGTAATATGAGTAAAGGAGGTGGTGTCTTCGACATTGGATTTAATCACTTTTTTTTTTACAAGGTCACAGCAATTGAATGTGCTGACCTGACCCCTCATTCACCAAACTTTCTTGTAGAATAAAACTGAAATACATGCAACAAGTTTAGACCTGTCCCCCTGTCTCATAGTAACTTCCAATACAGATGTGGTGGTATGTCATGGTTCAAGACTCCATGTGGGGAAACCTTCTGGGAACAGAAGAATTCTTGGGTTTGAATTCTCTTATACTGTATTTATAAAATAGAAAAAGGTTAGCTGGCCAACCATTCTTATTACTGCATCTAGATCTGTGGCAGTCAGTTTGGGTCTGTGTCTTGGTTTCCGTACTGTTGTAACACAAGGCTTGCCTTTGTCACCCATCAACATTTTTTTCTTTCCAGGTGCCCTGCACCTGTTCTCTGCCATGTGGCCTTGGGATAGGTTCCTATAGAGGGGGGAGGTGGTGGTGAAAGATCAGGTGGCTGTGCCTTGAGAGAGAGAACAACTGGACTAGAACTTACTTTGGTTCTTCTAAGTCTTCCATATGAAGATAATTCAATAATTTCCCCATGGTTTATGCTTGTGCATCAACAAAATCATTGAATATGGGATGGCAAGGGCAACTGAGAACAAGGGCATTGACATAAGCAAATAATCAATATTTGGGGTTGTGCATGCTTGGTTTCAAGCAGTAATTGCTTCCAGCCATCTTACCATTACATTAGGATTTTATATTTTTGTCTGCATGTACTATTTACAGGAATACAGGTATAGCTGCGTTGAAACCTTGCATCAGTTTATTTTAAGGCTCTCTAATCTGCATCTTTGACTTAGACTTAACAGAGGTCAAGTTTTGACCTGGATGGCTTGGGGTATTTGGCTAGGAAAGTGTGTGGATCCAAGATGGCTGACATTCTGTACTTCTAAAAAATAGTTGCCTGGCTAATAAAGCAACTTAGGGGTCTAACATTACTTAACAACATGTTTTTAAACTAGAAGGCATACTACTGGAATTTAAATATTCAGCGTAAACTTCATGGGATAGTTCTCCTTTCTTTGGTGACTGATAGAGCAAAGAACTATAAAGTTATGTCTAGGTATTTCTTTAGGTAGGAGATCCTTCAATAATTGGCATCTCTTCATCATACAAGGAAAAACTTCTTGTTTACATGCAGCAAACTGCATAATAAGTTTCAGTTTATCAGGTGCTACGAAGCTGTCAAACTCTGCTATCAAGTGTTTTTTTCAAAAAATATTTAGGGTTTTTGTAAATTTATTTAAAGGGAGAGCAATTTCACATATTACACGGCCACAAGCTCAGATTTTTCCAGTGAGTGTACATTTGATAGGGAGTTATAGCCAATATTGGCTCTTTTGAGTTTCCCTATGATATATGACAGTTCAAAGGTACACCTACAGCAGAATCCTGTGTACAATTACTGGGTAGTAAATTCCATTCACTGCTTTTAGAATTGCAACCTTCACAGATCTTTCCATATAAAGCAACCCTAAGCTTCTAGAGAAGCTTAAAATATACTGGGAGTTGGCTTACTGTAGTGTTTGTTTTGTAACAGTATATAAAGTCACAACACAGGTTCACATACAGCTGAAAAGCAACGTTTTGCAAATGTTTTCATGAACCCTGTCTCTGAACTGAAGTTTGGGAAGCGTCAAAGCTTGACTCCTCAACTTCTGGCAGAACAGATCAGGTCCAAGCGGCTCCATAATATTTTCTGTAACTTTCTCTAATAATAAAAATAATAATAACTTTAAACCATTTATTTACACTAGACCAAAGTGTATAATTATGATGTGAGCAGTGACCTAGTTTGCCAGCCATTGCCAGATTATTTTGCAAACTAGGCTAGGGGAAAGAGTGTTACGTTCCTGTTTAAGTTGCTTATAGCACAGGAAACTTGACCTCTGTACTTTGGCTCTTTTTCAAAAAGTTCTCATACGGTACATGAGCTCTACTGTTCTTTAAGCCTTGGCCATAAATAGACACGGTGCTTTATTTGCAATGGAGATCAACGATAAGCCGTGCGCAGAAGCAGCACAAGAGACACTTGTTAAGAAAATAGGTGCTGATGAATAATAAAACAGCGTCGCTCTCTTGTGGCGAGCGGTGACAGCCACTTTTGCTGGTGCTGAGAAAGACGTCTCGCTGCTGCCATGCAGCTGGCAAGAACAGTTAGCTCCTCACAGCTGTTTATGAGGTGCTCAAGGGAGACACACTAAGAAGAAGGTGACATCTATTGTGCAGTTTATAGTCTGGATGACTTTTACAACTGCAAAAGCCTACGCGGCACATAAATTGATGTCAACAGTAAAGGCCAGATCCTTTAGAGCAAAATATTAATCCCCTAATCTGTTATGGGTGGTCAGCTTTGAAATGTAAACACTCTTCTTCATGCCTGAATATATTAGGCGTTGGTGCCACCTTGTGGAATGTAGATCGGAATTCAATGAAAAGAATTCCTTTCTCCCCATCCTCCACACAAAAGGAGCCCTATAGAGATGTTAGGCAAATACCTAACTAGACTATGATAATTGTGTGGAAAACTGGGCCTGAGAGAGAAGAAATGATTCCGGCCAATGTGACATTTACCTTTCAATGTACTCATGGATTAGTTGATCCCTATACTAAATTTTTAAAAAGCTTCAGTTCTTTTGGTGCAGTAGATTTAGCCCATAGCTTTGAATCTGGAAATTGGGGTTTCTACACTAACTCAAAGCCAAATGACCCAGTGCAGTAATAGCATGCTTAGGAGTGACCGTGCTTCTTACTTCCGTTTTTTTAACAAAAGCAGCTGTGATCTAGATTTGGGACTGCAGCCCAGAAGCAGGGTTGTTGTTTTTTAAAACCCTTTCTCCCTGGGTCAGGCTGCCAATCTGCATCAAGGTCCCCATGCTAGGGATTATCAGAAAAGGAATTGAAAATAAAACTGCCAATATCATACTGCTGTTACGCAAATCTATGACGTGACCTCATTTGGAATACTGTTTATAGTTCTGGTTGCCTCACATCGAAAAGCGATAACGATACGATACGATATCTTTATTGTCATTGTCCCATGTAGGACAATGAAATTGAAAAACTACATAAAACTACTACAAAACTACATGTTGTAAAGCTGAAGAAAAAGTCGAGAAATGGGCCAATGAAATAATCAAGTAGATGGATCAACACGCCCCCCCCCCCTCATGAGGAAAGGTGGCAACATTGGGGACTTTTCAGTTTAGAGAAATGGTGAGTTGGAGGTAATGTGATATAAGTTTATTAAATGATGCATGGCATGGAGAAAGCGGGAAGAGAAAAGTTCCATCCCACACACATAAGGCTAGAATCCATGGATGTCCATTGAAACTAAATGTTGGAAGTTTCAGGACGTTATGCCCCTTGCATAGTTGTTCGTTTTTGTTTTTTGTTTTTTGAAGTATTTTTAAAAATATTTTTATTAAGCAATTTCAACATAACAAATTATCAAACCATATAATCACATACATTATTTCCCCCCCTTTTTCCCACCCCCTTCCATCCCTCCCTCCTCCCCCCCCCCCTCTATACCAGGGACATCCCTCAGCTCTTGCATAGTTAAACTATGGTGCTCGCTCACACAAGAGGCAGTGATAGTCACCAACTTTGATAACTTTAAAAAAGGATTAGGCAAATCCAGAGAGGATGTGTCAATCAATGGCTACTAGCCATGATGAAGGCAATGCTCGGTCTCCATGGTCGGAGGCAGTAATTCTTCTGAATACTGGTTGCTGGAAACTGCAGGAGGGGAGACAGCCCTTTTGCTTGTGGGTTTTTCCCAGGCCCCTGTGATGCTGGACTAGACAGGCCATTGGCTTCATCCAGCAAGCCCTTCGTATGCTCTTAAGAGGTGTGGCCAGCCCTAAACATGCTGTTCATGTAAACATTTCATTTGGCCTCTAGGGCTTTATACTGGTGGGAAATGAGCCAAGTGGGGACCCGCTCCAGAATGGCCCGTGTTGGAGGCCCACATCTGTTTCTTGCTGAGAAGCAACTTTCCCCACTGCTATCTGGCCTCAAAGGGCACCTATGAGGCAAATATCAACTGGGGAGGAGATTTTCAGCAGGAAACCAATGTGAGGGCTCCATTTAGGTAAGGAGCCTGTTTTGGATTCGGGGTCCCATGTGATTGTTCTTTTGTTAGTGTTAAAGCTAACCAAGTTTACACACACTGGATTCATTAAACTTATCTCTTATATTCATTCACCTGTTGAACTAACCATCCTTTTCCATGTAATGCCAAACACTTCCATGACCATGGGGCAAGCGTATGTAAGTGAAGGGGTATGACTTATAAGGGTTAGCTCAGTTCTTAGTGGCTCCAACTGCTTTTCTTAACACCTGTCATTTTTGAAAGACGAATCCTATTTCTGCAGTATAGCTTTTTGTTTCACCACATCAAAGACAGACACAACAGCATATTTTAAACAGGATATTTTACTTAGCAGTACCAGGAGTTTCTAGCTATAACAAAAACAAGCAAGGGAAAGAGAAACTAGGCAGGCAACTTGGGGTGCCACTTAGCTTTTTGTTCATTGGTATATTAACCATTCCGTGGCTGGTTTTCTCTC